CCATTTTTCTACAGTAGCCCAGAACAAACAAACCAAACACTGGCTCTAGAAAGCGCCTTACAGTGCCTTTTTTGCGTTACATGAGGGCCACCGTAGTTCTACGACACTCTTGTGAAACTGTGGTAACGTGAGACGCAAAGTGCAAAAACAACGTGGTATGGCCAGCTACCGTAAAGTTGTGTCGGCCTTTTGTCTAATATTTTTATTGCATGATTGTTCAACCTCTCTAGCGTCACTGATGTCACTGATGAACCACAACGTTTCACAGTAACTGATGTTCACAGCAACATATTTTTAGTGTCATCATGCCTCAGAGATTGTTTTGCCTTCCAGGAGAACTCCAACGGGCCCGTGAAGAAGTCCATGCGAGAGAAGGCCATAGAGAGACGTGGTATCAACAAGGAGCACAACAGTAACTTCAAAGCAGGCTACGTACCCATAGAAGAAGAACGTCTCCATAAGACGGGGCTGAGAGGACGCAAGGGAAACATGGCTGTTTGCATCGTCATCCTCCTCTTCCTCCTCGCCTTAATTAACCTCATTGTGAGTTCTACTAATGTCCTCTTGATTACACAGGATGATGATAAAGAGTTGACACAGAATCATTGACCATAAAGAGACAGTAGTGATGTTCTGTAGTGTGTGTGTGTGAGGTTCTCCTCCACAGTCAGGGTTCTACTACAGTAGATGAGTTTGTAGAACAGACAGGAGAACCAGCACAGGAGCAAAGTAATGTTCTGCTGTGGACGTATTCTAGACTCCTAAAATAATCTATACAAACACACCTCATACAAACACCCTGATAAACATCACTACTATCTCTGTTAATATCTGCAATACCTCCACTGTCCCTCAGATCACTCTCGTGATATGGACAGTGATCCGGATCGGTCCGAATGGCTGCGACAGCATAGAGTTCCATGAGACCGGCCTGCTGCGCTTCAAACAGAAGGCGGACATGGGCATCGTTCACCCGCTGCACAAGAGCACAGTAGGAGGCCGCAAGGACCAGGACCTAGTCCTCGTCGGCAACAATAATCCGGTGAGAAACACACAGAGGAGACTGAGGAAGATGACACACGGTGTGCACACTTTTTAACACTCTTCTCTTTAATTTTGTTTATGCCGGACCAGGTTGTGTTCCAGCAAGGCACCACTAAGCTGAGCGTGGAGAAGGACAAGACCTCGATCGTCAGCGACGTTGGCATATCCTTCACAGACCCTCGCACACAGACCACGTTCTTCAGCACGGACTTTGAAAACCACGAGTTCCATTTGCCCAAAGGAGTCAAAGTTCTCAGCGTTAAGAAGGCTTCCACAGAAAGGGTGTGTGTGAGACGCTAATAACGTCTGATTATAACATGAGTTAATGTATTAGTGTTTGACAACCAAAGTACCATCAGTACACAATAACACGTAATGGTCATGGGAAATGTAATTTTTAGACATTTAGCAAATTAATAAATAAAGCATTAAATAGTCCCCAAGAACACACTGAATGTCATCAGTGTAAGATAGATGAAGGCACTGAAAACTGATGCTGGAGCATCTTCAGAGTCAGTTTCTGAATGTCTCTGAGGGACCGAACAGCCAGAGAGACGAGGAAGTCTGCACTTCAACAACCGGAGAGAATCTGAAGTAAAAAGCAGGAGTGCAAAGCTGATGAATACAAATCTCTAACAGAGGTTGATGAGACTTTATCTTAATAATGATAAACACTCTCAAAACAATGATACTATTTCGAGATGCTAAGTCATTGTTTTGAGATAATTTGATAAACTTTCACAAAACAATGACAAACTTTCTCATGTGTCTGATTGTAGATCACCAGTAGCGCTTCATCTGACCTGAACATCAAAGGGGACAGCAAGGCCATCATTCGAGGAAACGAGGGCGTCAACATCATGGGCCGAACTGTAGAGTTCAAGATGGGAGGAGGCATCGAGCTCCGGGCTGTAAGCATGGAGTTTAATCTTGTTCTCTAACCTCTGACTTAGTGTCACAATATCATGATATACGTTCTCAAAACAATGAGAAACTTTCTCAAAATGGAAAATGTTTCTTTCAAAATAAAAGTTTCACAAACTCTTGCATGAACACATTCCAAAGATGAGAGGACAGACGGTGTTATTTCCTCTCTTTGCAGGAGAACAGCATCGTCCTGAACGGATCCGTCATGTTCAACACGTCACGCATCCCTAACTCAGCAGGAGACGTGTACTTCGATGAGGGCATGGAGAGGTACAAGCTCTGCATGTGTGCAGACGGGACTCTGTTCCGTGTGCAGGTCAAATATCCCAACATGGGCTGCCAGACTTCAGACAACCCGTGTAGAAAAGCTCACTAGACGTCTGCTTTTTATTTATTTTTACATCCGGTCCGTCACCGCTGAGGTCAGATCACAAATTTGCGTGTATAGTGAAATTCCGTGAGACATTTATCAACGATACCTCTGCAGTACAACCGTCACATTCAGTATTCCTCATTTTGTGTTTGCCAA